CTGTGAGAGCGCTGTCTCTTTAAATATCCAAAATAGTCAAGCCGTTTTTTAAACCTTCAAAATGGCAGTGTCCTCTGGACCAGCAAAAGTCCACAGCTCAGCCCACCTTTCTCTTCACCTTCTCCGTTTGTTCCCCAGCCACCATGCACAGTCCTCCGTTCAGTCACTGGCTAGCAGGGTGATTTTTAGTTTAATTCTTAAGTCCTACCACCACAGGAATCTGCGAGAGCACTGTCTCTTTATATATCCCAAATAGTCAAGCCACTTTTTAAACCTACAAAATGGCGGCACCCTCCGGACCAGCAAAAGTCCACAGCTCAGCTAGGAGGGCTCATTTTAAGCCTACTAGAATGGAAATATTGACCAATCCCCACAGTAGGATCCTATACAACTTATTTGCATGGCCCTACCCCCACAAGGATGCCTTGTACCTTATTTACATTACTCACAGTCTATCTAATCCCTTTGGAAGTACACAAGTACCTTTTATTTGCATAGTTCCACCCAGTAATCTCATGGGATTCACAAAGACCGTGGCTAGGAGAGTCATACCAAGTAATTCCCTGCACCACACAGTTCATTTATCAATCTATTCATTTCATCCCATTTTTTTACTATAAGCAGTAAGGAGAAACCACACTGTACCTTCAAGATTTCACTTAAAAATCTCCTCAGGTAAATATCCAAGTTCATTACTTGTAAGTTCTACCTTCCACAAAACATTTTAACAAAATTCAGACAAATTATTTGCCACCTTATAACAAGGATTGCCTTTCCTTCAGCGTCCAATAATATGTTCATCATTTCCATTTAAAGTTTCACCAGAAACACATTTAACATCCACATTTCTAGTAACATTCTATTTATGACTACAGAAGCATTTCCCACTCCTCTCAATTCTTTCTGAGCCCTCATCAGAATCATCTTTAATATCCATAATTCTACCAACAATCTCTTCAAGGAAATCTAGGCTTTCACTATCAAGCACATCAGAACTCGGTTCCAGCCTTTACCTATTACCCAATTCTGAAACTCTTTCTACTTTTTTTGTTGCAGCAGCATCTCACTGTTTGGTACCAAATTCTTGGTTTCCTGGTGCTGCTGTAACAAAAAATACCACAAGTGGGTGACCTTGAAGAACAGAAATTTATTTTCTCAGAATTTAGTAGCCCAGAAGTCCAAATTTAGGACATCAGCTCTTTTGTGTGTGTGTATGTTTCTTTTAGCTTTTAATAGCTGCATC